TAGATTATTCCTCAATAATCCCAACTTTAATGTGGGTTATCATTCTTCAATCCCAAAAATCGGTTACTGGTTGAATGGGTTAAATTTTTTTTTTTTTTGTTAAAGTGACACGTGTCACAAATTAATTGGTTAAAAATATAAAAAAAAAAAATCCACCCAGCCCAACCACCTTCCACGGCCACGCAGCCCCACCAGCCCAACCCCTGCCTGACCCCCAGCCGGAGTGCCGCGCCAACCACCCTCACCCTCCCCCTGAACCGCCGACTCCCCTCCCCCTCACCCTGAAACCACCAACCACCCCCAAAACCTCTACGCAACCGCCAATAAAACCCCTCCCCCTTTTCGAAACTTCCAACCACCACTCCGACTAGGGTTTTCGACGGTGAGGAAGTGGTTGTTGGGGGTTTTCGGGAGTGGGGAAGGGGTTTCGAGGGTGTTTCGAATGGTTGGAGAGGTTTCCAAGGAGGGGATTGGGGGTGGAGGTGGGTCGCAGCACCGACACAGGAATGGTATCATGGCGGCGTTGGAAGGGCGGTGGTGGTTTCCAAGGTGTGGTTGAGGTGGGGGGGACCGATTTTAGGTGTTAGAGTTGGTTTGGTGGCAAAATCCGGCGGCGGGAGGCTGGGAGGAGGTGGCTGGCAGGGGAGAAGGGCCACCACTGGTGGCTAAAAAAAACAAAAAATGGACCACTCACGTGGCGACACGTGTCCAGCAACCTACAATAGAAGGTTGTTGCCTTTTGTTGACCGGTTTGGGTATGAAGAATGATAACTCACCTTAAAGTTGAGATTATTGAGGAATAATTCAAAGTTGGGATTACTAAAAATATATTGGTGAAAGTTGGGATTAAAAAACGGTATTAATCCTTACTTAAATTAATGAAATAACAAAATGCCCATTAGGAATTAAATTACAGATCAAAACCCTAAAAATAAAGTCCACAATTAGAGCAATAAATTACCAAAAAAAAAAAACATAAACCCTAAATCCCAAATTTAGAAAAAGAAACTAGATTTTACCTAAGATTTCCAATTAGCTTCAACATCCTTGTTTTGATGGAAAAAAAGAACAAAAAAATAGAAAATAAAAACTAGATCTTGATAAGCGCGGGTGAAATCAAGAGGATCTGGAAATTTGCGAGTCTGAGCAATAGAATTATTGGTGAATTGAACAGCTCATCTTATTCCTTTCACCATATTTCCTTTGCATTTTGAGCAGATTTTGATCCAAAGAGAGAATGTATAGAGGGAGGGACGAATTGAAGAACATGGAAATGTGTTGGTTAGAATTTTATTTTTTTTCTTTTGGGAGTGGGTTAGAAATTCAGAAACAGGAAAAGTGAACAAAAATTTCTAATATACCGCCATCTATTTCACTATGGCGCTACACTCCAAATAAAAATCTAAAAACTTAGCCGTTACAAAAGGTTCACCTACTATAACAGACTTTGGCCGAATGTAACACTCTATGCATACCTGTTACAATATCATGGTTGTTTTAATTTGAAAACAAGTATTCGTTACACTAGATTCCTTTATTGTAACGATGTGAGGATGTGTTACATTTTGTCTGTTACAATAAGCCTTTAGGGGATTGCCTCTCACCGAAATATATTAAATCTGGCCACTTAATTACAAAACTCCCTAAATGTGTTGTAATGGCTTGCAACATCCCACCATGATGAACAACAATGCAATTAAGGTTTTGGTTTCATATCAAGAATTATCTATTATTTATAGAAGATATAGAAAGTATATAGTTACAAATTAAAACTTATATACAATCAACATTATTGACATTTGAAACAATATTAGATCAAATAAGCTACATTTAAAATTAAAAGGTTGCAGATAACTTTGTCACATATTAGCACCTATACAATTATTGATTAAAATTCTTTTTTTTTTTTTTTTTTTTCAGTATGTCATTTTTGAGTCTAAATAAATATGACTGAAATTAACAAGTTACAGATAACTTTGTCACATATTTTTGTCCTTAAATTTGATATGTTTTTCATCTATTTATAAAGAATTAGTGTCAACATTAAAAATGAATGTTATTTTGATATTTTTCCAATACTAACTTTGAAAAATGATGATTATTGCAGATATCAAATTGTTAGGATTAATGAGTGCACAACGAAAGCAAATTAAAGATTGATAAAATAATTAGGAGAAAGATAAAGGAAAGATAAGTAGTAAAGAAATGGACACACAATATTTAACGTGGGAAAAATTATTAAAAAAAAAAAACCACTTAACGAATACAAGAGAACTCTCACTATCGAAATTAGAAACTCTGATCATGGTATGTATGGAGGGACACTCATGGAATGTATAGTATCGGAGTATTGGAGGATATGTAGATGGATACATTCTCCCAAATGATGCCCAACACCATTATGGCTTGTTTGTTTGACATATAAAAAATGGGAAGTGAGACTTCCTAGGAATTGCAAGTTTTGTGTGTTGTTTGATTGACAAAAATTTGTTGAAATTGAGGAAGTGAAACTTCCTAGGAATTTTGAGTTCCCACAAAATGTAGGAACTTACTTACCTAACCCCCCCCCCCCTAAGTAAGTAGAAATTCCCATGGGAAGTTACTTCCCTCATTGTTAACCAAACAATTTTATGAAATTCCCATGAATTTGATTATAGTAATTTAATTCCCATAAATTTGCAATTCATGGGAAGTTCTAATTCCCAAGTGAACCAAACAGTGATGTATGGAGGTGGAAGAAGTGTGTGGAAAATTCTACACACTTACTCTCTAAATTCTCCACATAAGTCTAGAATTTTCATGAGCATTAACCAATTCTAGATTTTTCCACAATTTTCGATCATTTTCTCAATATAAGGGAATTTTCTAGAAACCTTGAGATGAAATAAGTTGGGTTATGGAATTTCGGCCACACTAACCCAACACAAATTGATTGAACGTGTACAAGTCGTCTGATTTGGTTTGAATTTGAAGATGAACCAAAGAAATGTCAATGAATCTTTTAAACTAAACTCAAATAACTCAAATCTATTTCAAAGTTCATTCCAAGCATTGATAGCCTCATTAGGCAAAATCTTTATTTAACTTTTAAAGTAAAATTAATTCATTGATAGAATAGCATATGACATTTACAATAATATAAATCAAAATTAACAAATACAATATCAACTAGATCAAATAATAAGTCATGATTGTTTGAGATGAGATCTGACATTGATGAATATCCTTAATCACATTGTTGTTTGATAAAGCCTTCCATGAGAAGGTTTTTCGATATATCTTAATTTTAAGTCAAACAATATTTCATGCAATTGATTGTTGATGTAGAATTAACCTCACGATATTGCACAAATCTTCATTAAAAAAACAAAAAAAAAAAAATCTAATTTTTCATGCACAATTAATAAACCCTAAACTCTCACAAAGAGTACATGAAATTAAACTCGATATATGAGTAGAGATAAACAAAAAAATTGGGTAGAAAAAACTCTCTAATAAAGAGGTGGATTGCTAAACATCACCCGCAAATCTCCACATAAAGCCCACAAACTTATATTGAAGTTACAATATTGCCCTTGACCTTAAAAAAAAAAACACAACCTCAATAAAAATCAAAGTACGGGGATGTCGAGGCTCGTGGCGGCAAGGTGGTTGGCTCGTGGCGGCAAGGTAGTGGTGGCTCGTGGCGGCAAGGTGGTGGTGGCGCCAGGTCCGGCAGCCACGTCCACCGGCCTGGCGTCTGGGCAGGACGCCCAGCCACGGTGAGTGGCGTTTGGGACAGGCGCCAGTCACTGTGGCTGGGCGTCCTGCCCAGACGCCAGGCCGGTGGATGTGGCTGCCGGACCTGGCGCCACCACCAGCCACGGGCCGTCCTGGCCAGGCGCCCCAGCTGCCTTAAATTTTTTTTTTTTAATTTTTTTTTTTTTGTTTTTTGGAAAATCAGAAAATTTTTCTAATTTTTTTTTAATGTGTTTGATTTTTTTTTTTAAATATTTATTAATTTTATGTGTTATTTTTTATAAGTCTAGTATATATATTTTTTATAAAATCAAATAAAAAACATAAATTTCCACATCCTAAATCAAAACATAAATTTAATAAACGTAATTTAAAAAAATAAAAATAAAAAAAGGCAAAAAAAAATAAATTAAAAAGTAAGGGCGGCGTCCAAACCAGACGCCAGTGCACTGGTGGTGGCGCCTGGCCTGGACGCCAGTGCACTGGTTGAGGTGCCTGGGCTAGACGCCAGTGCACTGGTTGTGGCGTCTGGCCTGGACGTCAGTGCACTGGTTGTGGCGCCTTGCCTGGACGTCCTTGCCATGGTTCCGGCGTCCAAACTAGGCGCCACCTCGTTTTCCGTCGAAGACGACGTATCTCCGGCGACCCTCGCCTCTCCGGCCTCCCTGGGCAACCCAGTACGACTCCACATTTGTTAGATCGAGATTTGTTCACTTTGGGTACGATTTTAGAAATGGGCAAAATTGTCAAACCATGTCTAATTTGTGGGCTTTATGTGGAGATTTGCGGGCGATGTTTAACAAATCCCATAAAGAGAGATCGAACGGAAATTTATTAAGAGCATAAAATAAAACTGGAAGGAAAAACAAAATATCTAGGAGGGTGGCTAGTCCGGTAGCCCCTAGAACAACATAATTTTTATAGGGTTTTGAGGAGGAAGAGAAAAGATATATTTAAAAATAAAAAATAAAAAAGGAGACGGCTTTTTCAGGCCCAATTTTCTTTGTTGATACAATTTTTAATACCTTTGCCCAAATTGTATAGATAAATTATATTTATTTATTTTAAATTATATTTATGGCTTCAAAAAATAAAAAATTATATTTATGTTTTCATGTGATAAATTATCAAATTTTATATTGAAAATCTTTGGATACATAGATGATTCAAAGTAATATACAAGACGTAGATATTGTTTTTCAAGTGTAAACAACCACAAAAGCAGTCGTTAAAGCACTAGTCAATATAAAATATATAAAAAATAAGGCTTTTTAAGATTATAATGATCAAACAACACGAACAAAGACATCAACTTAATACACTTCAATTTAACACGTTTAATCATTACATTATATGGAGTACTATTCAATACTCCATACTCCATAATAGAACTTACAATATTCAACATAGCAAACGGGACATTACACGAGCCACACACATACAAGTTTTATTTTTAATTAAAAACAGAACTTACAATATTTAGCGCAGCAATTCGGGATATTACCCGGACCACAAACTAGTTTTTATGTAAAAAAAAACTCATTGCAGGACATTAAAAACCATCATCATCGATCCTACTTTATTCAACTCATACTGTTAAAATATGTGATAATATTTAGGAGATAATATCTTAAGAATATATCTTTTATATATATCTTGTAGTATCTTTTATTGTTAGGCTTGATTATTCCCCAAGCCATTGACTTCGTATAAATATCTTTCGGTGGATTAATGAGAAATTGAGAAGTGAAAGAATTTGTGATTAATTTGACACATATATACCCTAATTGGTACTTGTAATAACTTGTTATTAACCCGACCCGAATATTAAGTCCTAAAATTAACATAGGATCGGTATGTTTGGCCAGGACTCCAGCCCCAAGGGATGACATTATACAAAGGAAGGGCCTGTCCAGATCTAGCTTCAATTAATAGCAAAGATAAAGGAGGTTCAAGAGCATTTGGTGCATTAAGTACCCATGTTGCACCCCACGATCGTTGCACATCGATCCATCCACCATATTGCTGCTTCAACTTCACGCTTTCTATTCCTTCCCCGTCTTCATACTCGATTATGAATGCAAAGTAGTGTGGGTTCGAACCCGGATCCACTCTTATCGCCACTGGCACTCCCGGATAGTTACATTTTACCCTGCACCATATGTACGTGTTACATTGTGTACAACATTTAAATAAAGAAATAGAATTATCATTGGGTTTTGAAATGTAATCACCTAATGAAGGGTTTAGTGTCTACTAAATGTATAGTTCGTTAATCGTTATAGCTAGTTAATTAACTCATGACGCCTTAACGTGAAGTTCATGGCAAGATTGCTAGCATGGTGTTATGCCTTATGGGTCATGTACATTGCATGCTTTTAAGAGGGGCACCCAGTTCATCTGCCAAATGAACGGTACCTCATTTTATCTAGGGGTATTTTTGGCTTTTCACTTTGGAAGTCAGGGGTACATGTGTAAATTGGTCCACTTCTTTGGATGGCCATTTAACAGCCGTTGAACAATTATAACTGCCGTTTGATGCATACTTCTTCTTCCTCAATCTTCTTCTTACTTTCCCAATCTCCACCAATACCACAATTTTCGGCGGCTTTGCCGCCAAATAAAACGAAAACCCTATAAAAAAGGGAGTAATTTAAGGTATGGTGAACCACCTAAGGGTAGGGTTGGCGTTGTCCTCCATTAAAATCCTCCATTAAGGTCCTCCATTGAAGCTAATTTTGAGCTTCAATTTTTTACCCCAAAGTTCGACAGCTGGTTTCTCTCTCCTAACCCATGGATGGCAAATTTGTGAAATGGATGTTAACGGACGAAATTAACTTCCGTTAAATGCTACTTCCTCCGTTCTTTTTTACTTAATCTGTTTCTTTTATCACGTTTGCCGATACACAATTTTAACCATCAATAACTTTAATTCTCCCTAAGAAAAAGTTGTAAAAGTTATATATTGTCATAGTACTTCTTTAGACAATTCTAATAACAAGATCTCATATGAACATGTTTTTCCTTATATATAATTCACAAAAGACGATCAAAGGTGTGTTGGTGAATAGTGTAAAAGTCAAAGCGGGTCAAGTAAAAAAGAACGGAGGAAGTTTATTAATGTCATTGTCAACTACACATGCAAGTTGAGTAAAGTAAACTTTCAACTAAGAAATAACTTCCAACTAAGCAATATTATGAATAAAATAAAGAATAGTACAACTATATATACAAGTTTGCCACCAACATTAACAATATTTGTTTATTTTGGTGATAAACTTGAATTTTCTCTGCTTTTAAAGCACTTTTATGCATAGTTCAAGAATCAAGACTATTATAACATTTTACTTATACCATACAAAGTATAAACAACTTTAGTCTACATTATTACTGGTATTGATGTAGTCAATTCACTACCTAATTTTTCATCCGTTCCAAAATAGATGACATGTCTTTTTTTTATCATATTTGTAAATGCAAAAATTCAAACAAAAATATCTTTAAAAAATATGATTTTAAAAAAATAATCAAAATTGAATATTATTTAAGAATCTAATAAGTTATCACAAAACTATTTATTTTTTATATCTATAAATCATAAATGTTAGTCAAAACAAAGTCTATGAACATTGTTAAAAGGCAAATCGTTTCATCTAATTTGGACCTGAGAAAGTATGAAATTTTCTTTGTGGAGGCAGATTTACCAAGCATGGTACATCCGGATTTTTGATAAAAGGCGGAATGAACATATAATCGTTTTGTAAAGAACATATAGTTGTTTTGTAAAGAACATATAGCTGTTTTACAAAGAACATCCAGCTTTATGTTCTTTTGGTATATCTATAGAACATCCATAATATTAATAAAGAATATCATAATATTATGTAATGAACATAATATATTCACCCACCATAATTTAAATACAAAATTTAAAGATTATTTCACAGTAAACAGTGAATATTATGTCACAAATAAAAATACATTACACTGACAATCAAATAAACGGAGATAAAGAATATTATTTAACAGTGTGTTCTTTATAAAACAGTGTCAAGTTCATTGTTATTAATAGCTTTATGTTCTTTTTTTATATCTCTTATATTCTTTTATCACGTTCATTACATTTTAACAATATATTCTTTACAATTTTATATCATGTTCTTTTCACTTTAACTAAACGTTCTTTACATTTCTATACAATGTTCTTTCCGCTTTTTTTTTTTTTTTTTAACGGATGTACCATGTGCATGGTACATCCACCTCCATGAACCACTGATTGGAGAAAGTACAACACATGCAACACCTAGCCCTTTTTTTGGGGTGGATATGGAGAAGGCACCTTTCACTATTGAACTTAGCAGTTAACAGGCTAGCTAGATACTTTAAGGGGGCGTTTGGTTAGTGTATTTTTTGGATTGAAAACGGATTCGATTAAATCGATACCATTACAGTGTGTTTGGTGTGAAGGCATGGTAACAATTACCATTACCTAAGGGTAATGATTACCCCTCATTTGTTACCTCTCAAAAACTTGGGGTAACAAATACCCTTACCCTCCTCTTAACAAATACCTTTTTTATGGTTAAACCAAACAAATGAAAAGGTAATAACTAAATGATTCCTTTTCCTCTTCTTATTTGTTTCCTTTCCACTCCGTTTTCATTTTTCGAACCAAACACCCCCTAAGAGTAAGGGGAAAGAAAAAGAAATTTCCACCTCAAAGTGCTCTCTAAATAGAATTTGATCACTGCACACAGCCTCAGCCTATAAACCTTTCTGGCTATTAGGTCAAGTCTTGTTTGATCTGTACCATGGACTTACATAGATACGAAGTACAATATAACAGTAACACATACATAACACGCGTAAATACATATACACAATTAACTTGTTGATGGCATGGTTAATTTGGTTCTTACCTTTGGTATTGGATGTAAAGATTACCAGCATTTCGTAGTTGGTCAGCAAGGCCACACTTAGCCATGGCACCAAAAGCTTTTCCACTCAAATCAAAATGAGCCATATCTGAAGGGCGACAACCTGGACAGTGATCTATTATCGTCACAGTCACTCCTTCTCCAGAACATGCACTATGCTCGGTGCATTTTACCTATGTAAACCCAATAAACATGGATATCTTTACATGGGTACGTATAGTATATTAATCATCACATGCATGGACAGATGGACAATTTTTACTTTATACAATTATTCCAAAGTAATATTTGCAGAAAAAATACAAGTTTAAGAAACGTAAATGCCTCATTTTACGTATTAAAAAAGTCTTTATTTACGTGTTTATGTTTTTAACATGCAAAATGAGACATTTACGTTTTTTTTGCCAAATCTGAACTCAATTTGGATTTTTAAGGACCAAAAGGGCCTCCAAATCCTTTTACGGAATAATTTTCAACATGCAAATTGATAAAAAAAAAATATTAATAGGTGGAGAGTGGGTCCCACTAATGAAATTTGTTAATACAGAATAAATAACGGCAAGGTTAATGTATACTTACTAAATCTACCTGTGAGTTATAAAGTGAAAAGTGTTATATCGAAGGGCACAACGGAGAAAAGCGAAATCGAGAGGGTTATTGTGTAGATAAACCCTTCTATTTTATTGAAAGACATCGTACACTATATTAGCTACTCATATTAGACGTACAATATATAGATATCAAAACTCTACAACTTTGTATATTGAGCGCATTTTCGCCCAAATCCTTTTTTGGCCACAATTCTTGTATAATTATATTGTCATATACCATTATTTCCAGAGGTTTTTTTATTTTATTTTTATCCATTTTATATCATCTATTTCCTTTTTTTTAGTTCCTTTACTTTTTGTGGAGAACATCTATGCCCATCACTATAATTTGAGTTGTGTTGGGCCATGAACTTTAATTTTATGATGAGCCAAATCACTGTACTGAACATCGGACAGATGTCAAGCTGAAAGGCCAAGTATACTACAGAATCCATGCACTAAATACAATAGAAAATATTGCCATAAAAAACAAATACAATTGAAATTTTGAAATAAGGCTTATTCTACGCCTTATATCTTTTATCTGTCTAGTGTAACATATTTCAACATATTTCAAGGGTAGGAGAGAGTGAGAGACTTATTGAAAAAGGAGTTCCCTTTACGACTTCATATTAAATGGCAATTGGCAAATTAGATGGTGTACTCAATCAAAAATGACAACTTATGTAATTAAGGGTTAAATTATACACTGTTTTTCTTTTCTTTCTATGAATTGACAACATTTCTCATTTTGTTTTAGTTAAGAAGAATTGTCTTATTAATCTGGAACCTCTTACAAGTTAACTCGATTCACTTTAAACTGACTAGATACTTTAAGAGTGCGTGGGACGAAAGGATAAAGAGATCTCCACCCTCAAAATATTCTTGTTAGGAATTAAACCTTCTATTCAAGGTTGCAAGATTCTTTCCTTACCACAAAGCTAACATTTAACTAATTATAACAACATTTTATAGGACGATATTTATTTTTAATGCATACATGAATAGTGTAAAATGGCCTGGAGATGTTCTAGCTTTTGATTATGATCCGTTTAGTACAACCTAGTCAAACTTTTTTTTTAAGTGCGCTGTATTGACTTTTGTACTATTTACATACATTAATTTTATCAATGTTAGTGATTTTTACATAAGATTAAACATAATTATATGGGTATTTGTTCAAATTATCTCTATATATAATTCTTAATATTATAAACATTTTATAATTCATATTTATTGGTAAATTATATATTTAATACATATAAATCTTTATATTTCTTTAATATGGTTTTTTTTTTTTAAATGAATAGAGATTAGACATGTTCTAGTTATAATCTTTGTTGTTGTTTTTTTTTTTTTTTACTAATTTTTTTTCTAGTATTATGTTCTTTGCTGTTTAGCCCTAATATTTTTTTTTAAAAGAATTTGTAGTCTTTAACCTCTTATGCTCATCGATTTTTATTTATGGTATTTGACTTTAACCTTTATGTTTTTCAAGCGCACACTATGCAACCGAATATACAAATCAATAATATGTATATATGTTACGCACGCAACCAATAATTGGTATACAACAAATTTGATTTCTAACACAAAAACACATTATAAAAAAAATATTCAAACCTGATAGCAAACTCCACATCCATCACCAGACGCAAAAATGGAGGATCCACAAGATGATGTCATGCCCGAAAATGGAGGCCTTTCCACTGAATCTAAATAACCACACGCTCCACCTAATAATATTCATTTCTTGTAAAATTTCATAATATTAATGCAAATCACATTTCCACTATTATACTTTGATATATCAATTAATATTTGTATATACTTTGTATTATATACATAAATCAATATAAATAACTTAATTGAATTTTTCAATTCCTTATCTAAAATAAGTTTTGCTAAGTTTTTTATTCAATAATTATCCTTGTAAGATTTACTCTCCTTTCTAACTAATTATACAATAATAACGTTAATTTAACATTTTAACGAAAACTTTGTTCACAAAATATGTATGTATACTTTAGTTGTTTTTGACAAGCACTAAGAATATTTCAAATTACACGTTCATTACTCTTAAATGAAACAAAATTAATGATAAACAGTAAAAAAAAAATTGAGATAAATGAACAAGCTTAATTATTTTCGATAATCAAAATTATAGATAGTCCATACCATCGTTACCGGCACCATTCGGGCTTCCATACCATGTAGCACGAGCAGGAAGCCAATAAGAATTAACGCGTCGATAATCACTGGTGATATTAAGTAATTTGGGGTTTAGACAATGAGTGTAATTAAGAAGAAGAGCAGAAATAAGAATAAAGACGTAATTATAGATATAAGCCATTATAAAATTAAACTTATATTAGTACGTAATGTTACTACTACGTACGTATTAATGTTACTAATAGTGAAGAGAATTGTGATTAATTCAGGTGCCGTCTGTTATTGCTATTTATAGCAAAGAACTGCCCTCGGGGGTTATTATTACGTAGGCCACTAACCCACTTTTGGTATTTTGTAGATATAAAATACAACTTTTATTAGAATAGAATCTTATTCCATATTGTGATTGGCTCATTGGCCAAAATACCTTTTAGCATTTCCCAAAAAAAAAATAATAAAAAAATAATAATAATAATAATAAAATCCTTCTAGCATTTTCTCAAAAATTAAATAAAACCAATAATAATAAAAAAAATAAAAAAAATTTAAAAATATTAATCCTACGTGGCGCTTTTTTTTATTATTATAATCCTACATAGCGTTTTAAAAATACTAATCCAACGTGGCTCTCTAAAATCTCGGGTAAAAACTCGCGATGCCTAGATTGTTGATAAAATTTCAGTATAAATTTTTTTGATTGAATGTTAAATACGGTCCTACAATCTCTTTTGATAATGTAGGAAATTTAGACATATGATGTCATATCGCTTATTTAATTATAATAGTGTATTTTTTGTAGTTTTGTTTGTGAATATCTATGTTATTATTGACTTGAAATTATTTTTATTGAACTTCAATTATTTTTAACTAATTCTCTATTATTTTTTTAAATTAATTAATTATATTATAAATGGATCTTATTTTAAAGAATTTTATAAACGAATTTTATGATGGAAATAGAATCGAGTTATAGGATATATTTATTAAAAGTTACGATTAATTTTGTATATATGAAATATTAGAAGTATATCGATAATAAAACTCTATACAATATTTTATCTTGAAAAATTCTATCCGAAATTCGCTTACTTATCCTCATATGAGTCACAATCGTATTTATTTGTCGCCTATACGTGCGTGGCTCGACACTTGGTGAAAAATTGGAATCTTTGTAGATAAAATTTTAGGATAAACTTTTGGCTTGAATGTTAAATATGGACATATAATCCCTTTTGATAATCCAAGATATTTAGACATACGACATATAATAGTGTAATTTTTGTAGTTTTGTTTGTAAATAGATATCTATGTTATTATTGACTTGAAATTATTGTTATTGAACTTAAATTATTTTTATTGAACCGAAAGTCTTTTTACCAAACCAAAATTATTTTTAGTGATTAAAACTTATTTTTACTGATTGTTTGTTGTTGTTTTTTAACTAAATTAAATATATAAAGAACTTTTTTTTACTGATTGCTTATTATTTTAAAGAACTTTTTTAACTAAATTAAACTTATTTTTACTGATTGTTTATTATTTTAAAGAATTTTTTAAAACGAATTTTATGATGGAAATAAAATCGAGTTATACGATATTTATTTGAAGTTATGATTAATTTTGTATATATGTAATATATGATAGTTGAAATATATTGATAATAAAACACTATACAACAATTTTATCTTAAAAAAATCTATCCAAGAATCGCTTACCTAGCATCATATGTATTACAATAATACATATTTGTCTCCTATGTGGCGCGACACTTGGCGAAAAACTGGAATGTCAAGTGTCGCTATCTCGTGGCCTGTCTGCAAGACCGGCTTTATTTATTAGTGACTAGTTTTGTGCCCGGACGATGCCCAGATTGTTGATAAAATCTTAGAATAAACTTTTTAGCTTGAATGTTAAATGTGGTTGTATAATCCCTTTCAATTTTGCAGGATATTTAGACGTACGATATCATATCGCTTATTTATATGATAGTGTACTTTTTGTAATTTTGTTTATAAAGTAGATATCTATGATATTTTTGACTTGAAATTATTTTTATTGAACTTAAATTATTTTTATTGAACTAAAAGTATTTTTGCCAAACTAAATTATTTTTTATTATTAAAACTTATTTTTACTAATTCTCTATTAGTTTTTATATTAATTTAATATACTCGTATTATAAATGGATCTTATTTTACAGAACTTTTTAAAACGAATTTTATGATCGAATTAGAGCCGAGTTATACGATATTTTTTAAAAGTTATTATTTATATTGTATATATGAAATATTAGAAGTATATCGATAATAAAATACTATACAACACTTTTATCTTAGAAAATCTATCCAAAATTTACTTAGGCCCTGTTCTTTTGAGCTACTAGGCAGAGCAGAGTAGAACAGAACATAGCAGATTTCATCATCATTATCATCATCATCATTATTATTATTATTATTATTATTATCACTTTATTATTATAATTACTATTATTATTTTTATTTTTATTATTATTATTATTATTATTATGATTATCCCATTATTATCATTAATTATTTATTATTATTATTATTATTATTATTATTATTATTATTATTATTTTTAATAATATTATTATTACTACTACTACTACTACAACTACTACTATTATTATAATAATTATTATTATTATTATCATTATTATTATTATTACTATTATTATTATTATTATTACTATTATTATTATTACTATTATTATTATTATTGTCATATTTTATTATTATTATTATTATTATTATTTTATTTTTTTTAGATTTTTTTCACTCTTTTAATAACATTAGAAAATATTGTAAATAATATAAAATATTAATTATTATTATTATAAAATATTATTTATTATTATTATTAAATATTAATTATTATTATCTATAAATATTAGTTATTATCATTAAATATTAATAATAATAATTATTATTTTTATTAAATATGAATTATTATCTTTAAGCAGAGTAGAGCTGAGCAGACAAAGCATAGAAGGGCAGAGCAGAGCAGATTTCAGTAGATCAGAGCAGGGCAGAGTAGAGCAGCTCAAAAGAATAAGGCCCTTAGCATCATATGTATCGCAATAATATCTATTTGTCGCCTACGTGGCACGACACTTAACGAAAAAATGAAATGCCAAGTGTCGCTGTCTCGTGGCTTGGCTGCGTGATCGGTTTTGGTGCCTGGGCGATGCCCATTTGGTAGATAAGATTTACGATAAAATTTTGGCGTAAATGTTAAATACGGTCATATAATCCCTTTTGATAATTTATATAGTAGTGTAATTTTTGTGGTTTTGTTTGTAAATAGATATCTACGTTATTATTGATTTGAAATTATTTTTATCAAATTTAAATTATTTTTACTAAACTGAAAGCATTTTTAGCAAACTTAAATTATTTTTACTGATTAGGACTTATTTTTACATTTTTTTTTTTTGAATAAATATATTATATTTTATGTTGTTATTAACTTGAAATTATTTTTATTGAACTGAAATTACTTTTACAGAAGTGGAAGTATTTTTTACCAATATTCAATATTATTTTTTTAAAATAAATCAATATATTATAAATGGATCATATTTTAAAGAACTTTTTTAAAACGAATTTTATGATGGAAATAAAACCGAGTTATAGGATATTTATTAAAAGTTAGGATTAATTTTGTATATATGAAATATTAGAAGTTTATTGACAATAAAACTTAATCCGACAATTTTATCTTAAAAAATCTATCCAAAATTTGCTTACTTAGTATCATATGTGTCACAATAATACTTAATTTTCACCTATGTGGCGTGACACTTGGCGAATAACCGGAATGCCAAGTGTCGATGTCTCGTGGCCTGGTTGCGAGACCGGCTTTATATATTAGTGACTAGTTTTGTGCCCGGGCGATGCCCAGATGGTTGATAAAATTTTAAGATAACATTATACTTGTGTGAATGTTAAATATGGTCAAATAATTCGTTCTGATAATGTAGAATATTTAGACATACGATATCATATGGCTTATATTTATATAATAATACTTTTTGTAGTTTTGTTTGTAAATAGATATCTATGTTATTATTGACTTTAAATTATTTTTATTGAGCTTAAATTATTTTTACCGAATCGAAAGTATTTTTGCCAAACTAAAATTAATTTTACTGATTAAAACTTATTTTTACTGATTAATAGTTTTTTAAATAAATTAAATAACAATTCAAAAATAAATTAAATAACAATGCATTTTGTATGCGGCTAGTCACACCATCTAGCCGAACAAAAATAACCTATAAAACTGACCGAGTAACCCGTGTAATACTAATTGAGTAATCTCTAACACTGACTAAGTAACCCCTATCTATAACACTGATTAAGTAACTACGATAATACTGATCAAGTATCCCCTATAGCATTAACGAAGTAACTCTTGTAATAGTTGGTGACACCATTTGGCCAACTACGTATAAAAGTTTGTGATTAAATATATTATAAATGGATCTTATTTTAAAGAACTTTTTAAAACGAATTTGATGGTGGAAATAGAATTGAGTTATAAAATAATTATTAAAAGTTATGATTAATTTTGGATATATGAAATATTAGAATTCTATCAATAATAAAACTCTATACAATAGTTTTATCTCAAAAATACCTATTTATCTCCTACGTGGCGCAACACTTAGCGAAAAAGTGGAATGTCAAGTGTCGCTATCTCGTGGCCTGGCTGCGAGACCGGCTTTATTTATTAGTGATATATGATATGATATGATATTAGATTGGATTGGATTAGGTTGAGTTTTTAAAAAAAATAGGATATTCATGTCGTATTGGTTTATAGAGGTTTGTATCCAATTAACAAAATGCAAAACCAAATCTTTTCTAGAAGTCTAAAATTATTTTTAATACTCTACAAGATTTAATAAAATAGTGAGTACAATAAACTAATCCAATAAAACTATTTTAATCCTCCCCTACCACATATTTCGGGCTTAAAAACCATTGCAGGTCATTTTTTAACATATTTATTAATTACATTAGTGAAGAAAAAATGTCATTGTATCCAAACTACCAAAATCTTATTTGGGTTTAATTTTGGAAAAAGTTTGGATAAGATCGGACACAACTTTTTAAAATCGAATTACAATTATGATCGGATTAAATTTGGCTCAATTTCAACCCGAATATCAAATAGACATACACTCCCTAATCCAAAGTCTAAAAGCATAGTCAGTCATGGGCAGTTATTTTACTTCGTAAATCAATTTTATCCATTTTCTCACCTATGTGGGGGGAATCCCTCTCCTAACAAAGGAGGGGGATGAGTAATCAAACCCCTGTCACACGCGGGCCAAGGGGGGAGTGGGGAGTGGGGGGGGGGGGGGGTTGGGGAAAGAGATGGAGGGACTAACTATCTCTCCATTCCTCATTCCTCAGTATGGAATCCTATATATTGTAATATGATGTATGCAATTATATAACTTTTTTTGTATCTTC